ACCAACGTTTGAATTATTGGGGGGTTTGGGGGGGCGGATTAATATAGTCAAAAAAAATTTTCCGGACTAATATAAGCATATTCAAAAAATTTTCGACCAATATAAGCAATGCTTCCGATTTTTTCACCGCAAATGTAACGGAAGCTTTAAAATTTCTTTTACCAAATTTTTCCGAGTTTTACCTTGAATTTTAAGCAAATATCAGTTCCATTTTGACCAACTTTGGGCAAATATCAGTTCCATTTTGACCAACTTTGACCAACGTTTGAATTATTGGGGGGGGTGTTACACCCCCCCACACACACACCCTATAGCGACGTCCCTGGTCATTGGTTGACCACCCTTGGGGCATTTCGAATTGTTTGTAATTGGTTAAACCATAAAACCAATATGCATGTACAGTGTGTATAAAAAAAAAGTATAGCATAACGCACACTATTGAATTCATCTGACAAGCTATACTATATAATTGCTTTGAACAAGTTAGCGAGCCGTAAAACAAAAGGCTTTCTATACTTAAGAATATCCTGCCAACGATTCACGATCCAGTGATCAGAATGTTCCATCGAAGTGGGATTTTCAAAACAATGAAAAGACAAATAAAATAAGATGCAATTGACAAATGCAACGGCATTTAGCTCTGGTCACAAAATACCAATTGAACACATCATTTCAAATATTTCATTTTTTTCATCGATTGATCTAATTTCAATACTTTACAGTAAATTATATATACTTGTCTTAAATTATTCATGACTATAAATACACGGTTAAATTGCAGTGGTTTGTGTCTGAACTGACTAACAATTAGAAAGATTAAAAACCAACTCCTGGCGCGAAGAGTAATTCTTCGAATTTTTTCACTTCTTATTAACTTGAGCCTAAGCGATTTTTCCGGTCCGCTATGACCTGTATGTTCTTAGCAAGTGCCCTAAAGAGAGGTTGTCACACCCCTGAAAACATATTGAAATTTAATGTTCCAGGAGGGTGAATACCTCTCTTTAGGGCACATGCTAAGAACATGGCCGCCAGATATATACGTTTTTTTCTCGCGAAGTGAAACCTCTGTATATATGGTTAGTACTCTGTGACACTATCAAAATTTCTGTAATCACGATCAGAGCCGAGGACTGGATCACAGTCCTCGAAACTTGAAGCGATAATTCTCAATCTAGGTCGGCAAATATTTTGAAAACAATTAGACAATATCCGAATGAAAATTTGCTTGCTGCAAATACGCGTATTTATAAACAGCGATTAATTGCAATCAATGCCAGTAGCAAACAAAACAACTAACAAAATGTATGAACTCCAATCGAACAGTGCTTGTTGTGACCAAATGTTGGGACAAACCGTACACTACTTTATTATTTTACCACACACTTTCGCTTAAATCTTGAAGCTCGATGATTTTAACACGATGTTTACTTTTCAAAGTTTCAAGTATCACCTTTCAACAATGAAACTGCAATGTTTGTAAATTAAAACATCATCGTTGAAAATGCATGTGTGAAAGATGCGTTCGCGGAAAAAAATGCCGAGGCGTATTTGAAAGTAAGTCGGCAAAATTTTGCTGACCTAAATCTACACATATCGCTTTGCAGGTCGGCATTTAGGTCGGCATTGCCGAATGCCGACCTGAGTTTCAAGGACTGGGATCATAATACGCGGACTTGAAATCTAGTCCAGCCCGAATTGGAGGATTTGAAACGACATCTCATACGAATAAATCACTACTTAGAGTAAGGTGAATTCATTATGATCCAGTCCAAGACCGAATTGATTTTGATTCAGTCCTATAGGACTGAATCAATATGGAAGATCAGTATCCAGTATTATCATGTGGTGAGCAAATTAAAGCAATATGGTTTGCTAATTTACTCAATTTAGTCGTTGGCCAATAATTGAGTTTGATATTACCATGCGCTGCTTACTGAAAGGCCAACCATTGTACACGCGTAAAAACGCACAAGTTGTTACAAGTCTGCAAACAAGTTGTTACAAATCAGTTCACAAGCTGTCGACAAGTTGTGATCACACTGCTTGTTTCCAATTGTTGTAACATGTTGGGACCAAGCTGTTAACAACTTGTAACAAGCTTGATGGCATTATCAGACTTGTTACAAGGTTGTTCTATAACAGACCTGATACAGTCATGATATAACAAGAATGTTACAAGCTTGACGACACAGGGTTGTAACAATACTGCTATATATCATGACTGTATCGGACTTGTTGGAACAACCTTGTAACAAGCCTGATAATACCAACAAGGTTGTTACAAATTGTTAGCAGCTTCTTCCAAACTTGTTGACAACTTGAGACAAGCAGTGCGAACACAACTTGTTGACGGCTTGTTGGCAGACTTTCTACAAGATGTGAGATGTTTACGCGTGTAGAATACTATACCTACACTGGACTCCACGTTTGAAATACCTGCACTATACACATTGACTAATGTATCATTGGTTCACTTTGACTTGGACTGTCTAGGCTCTGAGATCGTGCTCTGATTTCTTCTAGTTTTCTACAAACCCACATCGAGACGATCTCTATATTATCATCGTTGTTCAGCAGGATAAATGGATGCTCCTAGAACACAACAGTATAGATAGAAAATTATACTTATATATACGATTGCTTTACCTTAGAGAAGGTGGGTAAATTTTTCCCGAAAATCTTTGATTGCTAGCTGAGCAACTGTGCAACAAAGCTCTGACAACTATATTTCGGTGTTTGTGATGTTACTCTGAGTGTATATCCACACCGGGCAGACTTGAAAAATATGCCTGACCACGGTGGGAAACGAACCTACGACCTTTGGAATACTAGCCCAATGCTCTGCCAACTGAGTTACGCGATCAGGTCGCGGTTAGATTCTTTTCCGAAATATCACTTACTCGAACCGACCTGACCGCGTAGCTCAGTTAGCAGAGCATTGGGCTATAGTATTCCAAAGGTCGTAGGTTCGATTCCCACCGTGGTCAGGTGTATTTTTCAAGCTTGCCCGGTGTGGATATACACTCAGAGTAACATCACAAACAGCATATTCACCTGAGTACACAACACCAACACAGAAAAAAACTATATTTCGATCATGCAAAGCCCGATCAAAGAAACTATCAAAGTTTCTGTGATCACAGTAGAAATTTTGCATAGGTAAGTTTTGAAGGATTTGTGAGAAATGTTTGAGGAACTGGCTTAATGATAAACACTACGTCTGTTCCCTCAAACATTTCTTACAAATCCTTCAGGACATAGAATTTACCCATGCAAAATTTCTACTGTGATCACAGAAACTTTGATATAGTGTAAACAAGACCTTAAGCATGGCAGGCTATAGATTAAGGTGCAGTAATACGGGCAACAAAATTGCTGCAACTTGCAACAAAATCTGATTTCAACGCATGTTAATTGAAAATGTGTACACATAAATTACAAATCACGAGGCAACATGTGTCGACATTTCTGCTTAACATGCGTTGAAATCAGATTTTGTTGCAAGTTGCAGCAATTTTGTTGCTCGTATTACTCCAGCTTTAAACTACCGGGTGTTCAAAAAAAAAGCTGGAAATGTAAATAAAGATCATTGCATTCAGAAAGGACTAGCTTAGATTTTGACATATAACACTTGAATTTACATGCAATATTAAGCGAGATACAAATGTTTGAATGTGGAATGCGTTTTAAGAATTGGTGAAAACCCGGCAAAAATGTTTTTCGTGTCGAAAATTTTGCTGACCCAACCATTAGAAAGTCAAAAATTTGATTACCCAACCTCAAATATCAATTAGAAAATAAATACCCACCCCTGGCCAAAACCTTTACAAAAGGATACCATTCAGTTGTCACACATGTCCTTTACCACTTCTGTGACACGAGTTTGATAACTGCTTGTGCAATTTTCTGCAGTCTAAAGTTTCATGTTGTCTGCACATGTACTTTCTTTGGAGACACCATTTGTCTCCCAACAAATCGGAAAATGATCAAGATAGACAAGAGAGTGACTCTGATTGATTCACATATTGTATTTACATATGACTGTTGACATTGCTTTTCAGTCTCCAATATTTAAGTGAGTCATGCTTTGGAAATGACAATAATTTTTTATTACCCAACCTTTGAGTTGTTTTGTTCTTCATTTACCCAACCTTTTACTTACTCAAAAGTTTGTTTACCCAACCCTTTTCTCTTCGGTGCCACCCCCCGTCATAAATAATGACCGGTCCCTAATTATACTATAATTTCAAACAATTTTTGGCATTTTTTAAAATAGTATTTCAACGTTCAAACATCAATATCGCCGTCAATATATATCAAAATCTTAGTTAGTCCTTTCTGAATGCAATGATGTTTATTTCATTTCGATAACTTTTATAGCTTTTGCGCTACATGAAATCAAACAGTGGCCAGTTTTTTTGGGACACCCGGTATATATATATTTGAAGGATTTTCTAGATGAAAATTATCGAGTGTAAATTTCATATACATTTATTAGACCTAACCAACAACTTCGAAAAATGCAACTGTAGGTCCCTAGCAGGAATCTAACCTGCGATTCCGGTGCAGGACTCTAACCATAGATATCTTATATACACTAGATAGTGCATCTAATTAGTCTGCAATTCAAAAATTGAAGCCGTGATTGCAGACTCGGGATATTCCCATGAAATGAGAAGATTCGTATGTTTTCTATTTCTTAAACAGGGAACTTAAACATTAAGTTAAACCTATTCCAAATACATTTTCAAACTATTCAAATGTTGAAAGTTATTGTTGTTTTTTTTAAGCGTTTATTAGCGAGTGGGAAACGCCAACATGGCCGCCATCTATTCAAATGGGGGTAACCGCTGTAATATTCTTGGCTTCAATTTTATTTAAAGAGATGCGCTATCTAGTGTACATAAGATATCTATGGCTCTAACCAACTGAGCTACAGAGACCAGTCGTCGAGCTCTGACCACAAGTATATGAACAAGAAAGAATATTAAGAAGTAAGAAGTCTGTAGTAAGACTTTACCATTAATTCTTCAGGGGTAGGTCTTGATTTTATGGATTTCTGCATGCTAAGAAGAGAATAAACAACACAGGATTATCCAAACGATTACCTGAATGTTACAAAGACAGAGTTTGCAAACTTACCAAATGCTAACAAATGTCACAAAGTCTGGTGAGAATTTCTCAACTGGCAAACTTGGAGGACTCTAGGATACAATGTATAAATATATCAAAATTAATGGACACCCTGTCCACCCTTTCAGGGTTCGTAGTCTCCAAGACCAAAAAAATTCAAAGACTTTCAAAGATTTTTTCTGCCTGTATTTTCAAAGACTTTTCAAAGACCTTTGAGGGCAATCAGCTGTCGAGTGCAAACACCATTTTTATCCAGTAATTAGTCCCGTCAAATCACATCCTAAAATGCGCCTTTTCGTCGATATTTACGAAAATCTTGCTTCAACCAATCTATTTTATTAGCTAGGAAATCGTATAATCAAATACTCACTAAAGAATTCAAAGACGTTTAAGACTTTCTTCGCTTTTTCACACAATTTAAAGACTTTTCAAAGACCTCAAAGATCTGCATTCCAATTTAAAGACTTTCAAGGATTTCAAAGACCGCTACGAACCCTGCCTTTGGTGAAGGTGAAATTCAAGGACTTTTCCAGGACTTTCAAGGCCCTAGAACTGGGAAAAATCTTTGAAAATGGCACGGATTTGCCCCTCTTTGAAAACGCAAAATCACTAATGTTGGTACAGCTGGAGGTTAAGGAAATTAATTCCAGGACTTTCAAGGACTTCTACTGCATGATTTTCAAGGACTTTCCAGTCCCGGAATTTTTTTCCAAAATTCAAGGACTTTCCAGGATTTTCAAGGCCCGTGGACACCCTGAATGAAGTACTCGTATATCATCTTTTTCAAACATAAACCACATCAGATTGTTTTGCAAATCTTCAACCACGTAAATGAAACCTCCTTGTCTTAAATGAAATACTTAGCCACGAATAGGATTTTTATGCCTTGTATCTCTGCGGCGTTCTCGTTCTAAGGGCCTGGGGAATAGCGGGCTTCGGGGGCTATCGCGCACTCACCTCATTTACGATACACTGCATGAGTTCAATCGGCTGAAAAATGATGAAAATAGAAATGTCACAAAGATATTGTGGTCAAACTCACTTACAAATTACCAAGTATAACATACCAGAAACACTTTTGGTTCTGAATTTTCCTAAAAATACAAAATGTGGTACATAAAATTACAGAAGATACTAGTTAAAATAAAATAATAATGAACTTGTGGATAATTATACTGTGGTTTACACTATCAAAGTTTTGAAGAATTTGTAAGAAATGTTTGAGGGAACTTGTTCAGTGTTAATTTTTAAACAAGGAGTCATTTCCCTCAAATCAAGGGCGAATTTTCATTTTTTTAAAAGGAGGGGTGGAAATATTTCTAGTAGGGTGCATGCAAAAAATTCCTACTGAACAATAGGCTCGGTCCAGTCGTTCTGTGGAGGAACGACCTACCGGCTGAAAGTCTGAAACCGAGCCTAGGCTAACGACAGCTGGGGAAAATATCGAGAATTTTGGGTATCTCGTTCGATAGGACTGTCAGCCTTTGGTTTTTTTGTTGATAAATTTTCGAACGTAAATTTATAGACCTACTCTAACCAGGAGCAGTTGGAAAAAATGCAACTATATATATACCCTCTGGCAGGAATGGAACCTGTAGCCCTGGTGCCTTACAATAGCTAGCATACCTTACAGTAAGGAAATCTTCCCAGAGCCATTTCTAAAACGGAAATTCCAAGACTCCAAACCTCAGAACGAATACTGTATTCTCCACCTAACACACGTTCAGGCTGAATAAGAGAAACACGTCGATATCAAATAAAGAATAACTGGCTTTATTTTAAGCATTATCTGATGACTCTGATGGTGACTTTAGCATTAGCTCTGTCTCTTGTAACCAAGGCCGTATCTATATTAGTATAGGTAATCATGCGATGGCGAGTACAATTAGGGATTAATATAGTACGAGTGATGTTGATTACTTGTTTATTATTAGCATGACAAAATTGGATACTTATCAATGTCAACATCATATTCTCTCGCCAAAGCCCGGCTGCCATACTTTCAACCAAAATTTGGTGCTTTTGGACGTATTTTCATTTTGTTCTTTTAAAGCAAAATTTGGTGCTTTTGTTCGTATTTTCATCTAGTTCCTCTAGGGAAATTGCATTTCACATTTGTGTTTAAAATACATTTCCGCCATTTTGTTTGTTTTGGAAAAATCATTAATTGTACTCTCAACCAATCAGCATCTAGTAATTTTGTCATGCTAATAATAAGCGTAAAAATCTCACACCTTGTAGCAAGTCTGCCACCAAACTGTCAACAAGTTGTGTTCGCACTGCTTGTCCCAAGTTGTCAGGCTATTGCCCGATTGATAGGGGATCCAAGGTACCTGCGATTTTAACGTCGTTAACTGAGAAGACGCGAAAGTCTAACCATGTAAAGGTAGCTCTTTCTCCTCCGTTATTTTAAGACGTTATAGTAGAGGTCCGACCAAGGATTGAACTAGGGGTGCACCGGATTTGGAACTTTCAAATCCGGCCGGAACCGGATTTACCGGATTTGGACAAAAATTCCGGCCGGAATTCCGGCCGGATTTGAGATAAACCGGTAATGGGGACAATTGGGGATAAATCAGTATTCAAAATGGCGGTTTATGCTTTTTACTATTTTTAGTTAGTGTCAGTTTAGATTTTTGATTGTGTTTAAACCTTTTTCAAATATATTTTTGTTAATAATTTAATATTTTATAATAATATAAGTGTTTTTTAAACTTTAAAGCTGCCAAATTGATGGTTTATCCCATTCTTGCTGAATTTTTTAAGGTGAAAACAGAAATTTAAATCCGGCCGGATTTTCTCCAAATTCGGCCGGATGCCGGATACCGGAAAATTGGTTAAATACGGCCGGAATTCCGGCCGGATTTGAAATCCGGTGCACCCCTAGATTGAACCCGGATCCCTCAGCATGAAAGGCGAGCGTGGTGACCGACTGACCGTGGCATCATATGCGCTGGTAGGGCGACAATTAAAAATGTGTCTACTGCAATTGTAATTACAGTACTTGTCAATGAAAGTCCTCAAAAACAGGGGAAGAATTTAGGTCAAAGGAGAGATCATACTTACAGCCATGTAAGCATTAGTTCCGACGTACGTCGTGGCTATCGAGTTCACAAGCTGAAATAAATTGGAAAACACGTTAGATTTCAACAGAATACAAACGATTCACTTGCAGCAAGGCTATAAGGCAGAAATATTTGCTCGTGTGTGCGGCAAAAACTTGACGATATTTGCACGTTCGTGTGTATGGTCGCTAAGGAAACCTTGACAAGTGTCAAGGGAAACTTGTTAAAGAAAATTTGTTGACCATACACACGAGAAGCTAAATTTACCAAGGAAACTTGTCAAGAAAACTTGTTAAAGAAAATTTGTTGACCATACACACGAGAAGAAGCTAAACTTGCCAAGGAAACTTGTCAAGAAAACTTGTTAAAGAAAATTTGTTGACCATACACACGAGAAGCTAAACTTGCCAAGGAAACTTGTCAAGAAAACTTGTTAAAGAAAATTTGTTGACCATACACACGAGAAGCTAAACTTGCCAAGGAAACTTGTCAAGAAAACTTGTTAAAGAAAATTTGTTGACCATACACACGAGAAGCTAAACTTGCCAAGGAAACTTGTCAAGAAAACTTGTTAAAGAAAATTTGTTGACCATACACACGAGAAGCTAAACTTGCCAAGGAAACTTGTCAAGAAAACTTGTTAAAGAAAATTTGTTGACCATACACACGAGAAGCTAAACTTGCCAAGGAAACTTGTCAAGAAAACTTGTTAAAGAAAATTTGTTGACCATACACACGAGAAGCTAAACTTGCCAAGGAAACTTGTCAAGAAAACTTGTTAAAGAAAATTTGTTGACCATACACACGAGAAGCTAAACTTGCCAAGGAAACTTGTCAAGAAAACTTGTTAAAGAAAATTTGTTGACCATACACACGAGAAGCTAAACTTGCCAAGGAAACTTGTCAAGAAAACTTGTTAAAGAAAATTTGTTGACCATACACACGAGAAGCTAAACTTGCCAAGGAAACTTGTCAAGAAAACTTGTTACAGAAAATTTGTTGACCATACACACGAGAAGAAGCTAAACTTGCCAAGGAAACTTGTCAAGGTAAACTTGTCAAGAAAACTTGTTAAAGAAAATTTGTTGATCATACACACGAGAAGCTAAACTTGTGAAGGAAAACTTGTCAAGAAAACTTGTTAAAGAAAACTTGTTAAAGAAAATGTGTTGACCATACACATGAGAAGCTAAACTTGCCAAGGAAACTTGTCAAGAAAACTTGTTAAAGAAAATGTGTTGACCACACACACGAGAAGCTAAACTTGCCAAGGAAACTTGTCAAGGTAAACTTGTCAAGAAAACTTGTTAAAGAAAATGTGTTGACCATACACACGAGAAGCTAAACTTGTCAAGAAAACTTGTTACAGAAAATTTGTTGACCATACACACGAGAAGCTAAACTTGCCAAGGAAACTTGTCAAGAAAACTTGTTAAAGAAACTTTGTTGACCATACACACGAGAAGCTAAACTTGCCAAGGAAACTTGTCAAGGTAAACTTGTCAAGAAAACTTGTTAAAGAAAACTTGTTAAAGAAAATGTGTTGACCATACACACGAGAAGCTAAACTTGCCAAAGAAACTTGTCAAGAAAACTTGTTAAAGAAAATTTGTTGACCATACACACGAGAAGCTAAACTTGTCAAGAAAACTTGTTACAGAAAATTTGTTGACCATACACACGAGAAGCTAAACTTACCAAGGAAACTTGTCAAGAAAACTTGTTAAAGAAAATTTGTTGACCATACACACGAGAAGCTAAACTTGCCAAGGAAACTTGTCAAGGAAAACGTGTCAAGAAAACTTGTTAAAGAAAACTTGTCAAAGAAAATGTGTTGACCATACACACGAGAAGCTAAACTTGCCAAAGAAACTTGTCAAGAAAACTTGTTAAAGAAAATTTGTTGACCATACACACGAGAAGCTAAACTTGCCAAGGAAACTTGTCAAGAAAACTTGTTAAAGAAAATTTGTTAAGAAAACTTGTCAAGAAAACTTGTTAAAGAAAATTTGTTGACCATACACACGAGAAGCTAAACTTGCCAAGGAAACTTGTTAAAGAAAATTTGTTGACCATACACACGAGAAGCTAAACTTGCCAGGGAAACTTGTCAAGAAAACTTGTTAAAGAAAATTTGTTAAGAAAACTTGTCAAGAAAACTTGTTAAAGAAAATTTGTTGACCATACACACGAGAAGCTAAACTTGCCAAGGAAACTTGTTAAAGAAAATTTGTTGACCATACACACGAGAAGCTAAACTTGCCAGGGAAACTTGTCAAGAAAACTTGTTAAAGAAAATTTGTTAAGAAAACTTGTCAAGAAAACTTGTTAAAGAAAATTTGTTGACCATACACACGAGAAGCTAAACTTGCCAAGGAAACTTGTTAAAGAAAATTTGTTGACCATACACACGAGAAGCTAAACTTGCCAGGGAAACTTGTCAAGAAAACTTGTTAAAGAAAATTTGTTAAGAAAACTTGTCAAGAAAACTTGTTAAAGAAAATTTGTTGACCATACACACGAGAAGCTAAACTTGCCAAGGAAACTTGTTAAAGAAAATTTGTTGACCATACACACGAGAAGCTAAACTTGCCAGGGAAACTTGTCAAGAAAACTTGTTAAAGAAAATTTGTTAAGAAAACTTGTCAAGAAAACTTGTTAAAGAAAATTTGTTGACCATACACACGAGAAGCTAAACTTGTCAAGGAAACTTGTCAGAGAAAACTTGTCAGGGAAAGTTGTCAAGGAAAACCTGTCAAGGAAATTTGTCAAGGAAAATTTGTCAAGGAAGACTTGTTCATCTATATGGGGTTTAACAATTGATACCTGAGTGCTGACACCAAAATCACACAATTTAATCTGGCCTCTAGTGTTCACTAAGATATTCGATGGCTTCACGTCTGAAAACAAATTGTCATTTGAGAACTTTAGTATTGTAGCAAACGAAAAAATAATAGCTTGAAATAATATAATTGTAAATAGAGAGGTATTCTAATATGATATTCATACCTCTGTGCATGATTTTTAACTGCCATAAATAAACTAAACCTTTCACGACCTACAAAGGAAATGAACTCATTAAAACTTTAAAAATCTCCAATCTTAACCTATTCTATTTGCCTTCTATGTTTGCCATTCCAAAGGTATATTGAATGTATTGCCATCAAATGATTCAAATTCCATACGATAATTGGCAGAGACCTGCTCTATTTGCCTTCCACGTTTGGTGAGTGTACGTAAAATACTTGCTGAGAAATCAAGGTCATGAAGAGGTTACGATTTGAGGATGTTTCAATATTTACCATTAAATGGTACTTTATTATTTTTCCTGTGCACAGGAAAATACCATCAATGGTAAATATTAAACCTCTCTAATAATCAAATTAATATAGAGGGGACATCAGGGTGTATGACAGCTTAATGGATTACACAAGTGTTTGTAGAGCAATTAACTTGAGCTTACAGCCACAGATATTCTGCCTAGAACAGGTTCAGGAATTTCTCCATATATTTCTAGGGATCCTCCTGAAACGACAAAAGATGTACATACATTAAGATGCAGCCATATTGAAGTTATGTGTTAGAGAATGTTTAGAATCAATAAGAATTTACCATCCATGTATTCAGTGCATATCGATATCCTAGAGAACATAAATACAAGTGGCCAATAAGAGGAGAATCTTTTGTATATTACGTAACACGCGCTCAAAACTAACCCTTACAAAAAAAGTCTATATATAGGCCTAGAATCAGGCGTGGATCCAGCAAGGTTTCTCTAAGGGGGTGCCGGGTGAGCAGCCGAGTGTTTCTTTATAATTCTTTACGGGGTGGTGGGAGAGCATTCAAATGAATTGGCTTCCTAACGACTTGAGCGCCGAAGGCGCAAGCTCCCTAGGGGGTCCAGGGGTATGCCCCTCGGAAAATGTTGAAAATTAGAATCCTAGAAATGTCATTTCCTGCAATATGGGTATTGAATTATGAGCTTCAGACTGACTTCATAAAGGAAAAGCCTTGGAAATTGTGCCATATTTCCGAATTTGATTATTTTGCAGCCCCTTTGTACCCCTGTTGACCAAGGCCAACAGGGGTGCGCACCCCTGTGCAACCCCCCCTATAAATCCACCCCTGCTAGCTTATAGGCCAACCTATAGGTTCCTATAGGATTTCATAGAAAATTGGGACATTTTCTATATAGGTGACCTATGGGATGTCTATAAACCTATAGCGCTGTAGAGATAGGTGTCTAAAGGCTTCTATAGGGAATTGGAACATTTCGTACAGGCATCTCTGGCCACCTATAGACTTTTTTCCCAAGGGAATGAATATAATAATTTCCACTTGGTTATGACTATATTCAATTTTTTAAATTTTTGATACGTTTCAAAATTTTTAATTTTTTGATATGTTGTGCATTTCAATACACAATATTTAACTATTATTTTGTGTTTCAAAACAGTTGCTAACTGTGTAAACTACAAAATAAAGCTAAAAGGAAGTAATTTTGGGAGGAACGCCAAAAAGATTTTAGGTTTCGAGCACTTTTCATTGCAAATACGTGACATTAAAATTGCCTCTTAAAGACATAACCATAC